GAAGCCCCCAGCAGCAGGCTATTTGATGTTATATATATATATATATATATATATATATATATATATATATATATATATATATATATATATATATATATATATATATATATATATATATATATATGTTATCTACTATAGCATATTTATATGCGCAATTGCTCACTTTTTTTGCTAGCCTAAATTAAGTGAGCGTTTTTAGAAAACGATGAGGGAAAACGAAGAATAATGAATAAAAAGGTTGCTGACCAATACCAAACCCTCAGTCGATGTAGCAGCACTCCACTGCGAGTCAGGCTATTTGTCAGTCGATGTATGTACTGAAGCCCCCAGCAGCAGGCTATTTGATGTTAGGTGAGTATGACATCATCATGCTCACTTAACTCAGCAGTATAAGATATATATATATATATATATATATATATATATATATATATATATATATATATATATATATATATATATATATATATATTAAATCAAAATTATTATTTTTTTTCTTTTATCAGAATAAAATGATATATTTTTATTAAATTAGTTTTAATTTAAATCATATATTTTTATCAGAATTAAATTATATTTTTATTTTTTTGAAAAAATCAATCATTACAATAAAAGTAAAGCAAAATAAAAATAAACATTATTTGAATTTTTTTTCATAAGTAAATAGCGCTTATATCAAACATAATTGTTATTCAAATTTTTGTAACAAATATTTTTACACAAACGTCATTCAAAAGTTAAAGTGACTTTTTTAAAAATTAATTCTTTTATCTTACCACTTATGGAATAATTTAAAAAAGTAAAAAAACATAAAAAGTTGCTTAACCAAAATCGCTTACTGCTTGCATAAAATTGCTTAAGGCGTACGTAAATCGATCTACGTGTAACGCTTTAAAACAAGGCCTTAATACAAGCCTTAATACAAGTTCATTACTTGCTGATTGATATGTTTCTGAGAGTTCATTATTTGCTGATTGATATGTTTCCGAGAGTTCATGATTGAGTTGGAGACTGATTGCAATTCTGTCGTCATTAGAGTTATCATTTTTTTTGCCCAATTATTCATTTTCAGATGATCTTATTTCACTTTAAACTTTTATCATAGCTTCGTTTATATATTTATGATTTGCGGCAGTGTTTAAATTTTTTCTATGTTTACATTGGGCTATATATTTTTTTGACATTTGCTCCATCTTTTGTTGCATAAACCAACTTAGTACAGTAATTGAGAGAAGAATTTTGCATTGTGTCATATTATTTTTGATAAATACACTGTCTATTGCTAATTTTAAAGAATAAGCATTACCTTCTCCAAAATCAGCCATATTGTGTAGCGCAACAAAAAAATAACATGGACTATCAGAATGTTGTACTCTGACTAATATTGCCCTTTTGTCAATGCCTGTTTTTCTTCATCTTCATCTCGTTCATCTGAACTCAATTATTCATTTTCAGATGATCTTATGTCACTTAAAACTGTTATCATAGCTTTGTTTATATTTTTATGATTTGCAGCAGTGTTTACTTTTTTTCTATGTTTACATTGTGCTATATTATTTTTGACATTTGCTTCATTTTCTGTTGTATATACCAATATTATTTTTTTGTACAGTAATTGAGAGAGGAATTTTGCATTGTGTCATTATTTTTGATAAATACACTGTCTGTTGCTAATTTTTAAGAATTATAAACATAAATAGTTATACATGACAAATAATTATGAACAATATATATTTTTCTCGCTTCAAAGAAGGTTCAACAAGATTTTCTAATTGCACTGCGTTTTTATGTGATGTTGGCAAATGTCTAAAATATCAATTTTAAAAATAGCTCAATATTTTATGACATACTTGTCATAAGTATGCCATAAAATGTAAAACAACAAGTCTAAAACAAGGCATAAACAAAACAATAAAACATAAAATGCCCTATCTTAGATTTGCAATGTCAATAGTATACAGGTTACACCATAAATCTCTTTCATAGTAAATATAAATCAGTTAATTATACTGGATGATGTGTGACAACATTAATTTCTTTTAAAAATACATTTAAAGACTTTTTTGCACACCCAAATACGGAAGATTCACCTTTATTCATTATCTCACGCTTAGAACATAATTTGCACCATATTTTCGCAACAATGTCTATTAACATTCAATTAAAATCACAGTTAAGATTTATGCCTTCATTTTCAAGAAAATCATATTTCCAAGATAAAACAGTTTGTAATGATTTTGTGATTTTATACTCATTTGTTTTCTCTTGCCTTTACTCTAATCTGATTTTTTCTTCGTTAATTATCTTTTATAACATTGCAAAAAAATATTTAGAAATTTTGTCATATTTTAAATGTAATTACAGAACAATTTTAATTTAAAAAAAAATGGCTTGTTTTAATATTGTTGTCTAATTTTCAAAGCAATACCGAAGACTAAGAGATAATTAATGGAGTGATTGGTTTTTATAAACTTGCATAAAACAAACCACCTCTGAAGATGCATAATGGTTTTGATGTCAAAATTGAAAAATTTATTCATATTATAGATGACGAATAATATAATATACAGTGGATTGGTGTAATTGATTTTTAGAGTTTCAGATAATTGCAGTTGTTTTGAAATACTGCAACTTTTTCTATATTGCAATACAATTCTTTGTTAAAATAATTTCAAAAAAATGTTTATATAGTATTAATGACTATTTATTACTTTAAAACTTGTTACATAAAATATTTAAAAATTGTTTTACAAATACATTAAAAAAAGTTTTCGGACACATCAGTTTCCTCCTTGACTTGCATCAAATATAGTTAATGAACAAAACACCCTAAAAATAAAGAAACAAAAAATATAAAAAAATTGTTCTAATAATCTTGAAAGAAAAACATGCCCATGTTTAAAATATCACCTGTGGCTTGTAACCCATGTAATTTAATTTTTAATGTTATGTATGTATCAGCCTACTAATTTCTGCGATGGCTTGTTTTCTATAATTCACATGTCTATTGTATTGTTAAATGGTACTCAAGTTTACGTATTTTGATATTTTATGTACAACAACATACTAGAATATATTGTTATAGGGATAAAAAAATATATATTTATAATTAATGAATTAAAAAAATATTATTTTTATGTTTTTATTTTCACAATAATAATAATAATAAAAATTAGGGGTGTGTAGTCGTAAAAAAAAAGTAACGACTCCGACTCCAGTTGTTGACATTTTTTGATCACAACTCCGACTTGAACTCCATAGCAAAATTTTTGAAAAATTCTTTGAATTCTTTAAAAAATATTGTATATAGGGATAAAAAAATATATATTTATAATTCATGGAGTCGGAGTCGCGATTTTGTTTCCGACTCCACAGCCCTGATAAAAAATAATAATAATAATTAATAAATAAATGAAAAAATAAATAATAGCACTAAAAAAATGATATAAAAAAGTTTGGTTTTTTCAGCGCATTTTTTTAATGCAAAAAATGTGGTCAAAGTTGTCAACTAAAAAAGTTATATTTGTGGTCAACCGCATTTGTGCAATCGCACGCCTATCCTGAGAAGGCTTGCTTTATAGTACATCACACTCAATTTATTTTCAAAAAAAGTTGCAGTGAGATTTAAAGTAACTAAAGTCCAAAAGCACTTTATGTTGAAAATCTCTGTACAAAAGAGCAAATCATCTCAACCATTTATTTTTTTTTATTATTTTTTTTTTTATATCTAGTTTACCTTTTTTTTGTTGTTGCTATTTTTAAAAATTAAGAACAAATCATTTTGTCTTATATATAGAAGTTTTTCAGACTAAATAACAGAAGTCTCTCAGACCTCAAAAACCTCAGTCATGAACTTTTTAAAATGTACTTTTTTCATGTCTCTATTTAGAAATTTTATTGTTAAAATTTTATTAATCTATATGGGTAATAATTTCAAATTTATTTTGCAAATATAGCATACATTTTTTGAAAATATTATTATAGGCAGGTACATTTTTAAAAATAGCTATTATTTTAATTTTTATTAAATTGCTTCATTTGTTGGTACCTAATGTCGTGTGTGCACGTCCTAGCTGTTAAAAAGTACATGGTTCTTGCATAAACCTAGTGGTTTGTAAAATATTTGTTTTTTTCTGCACAATTTTTAGTAATCATTTATTCTGTTGTTGGTTGTAAAAATTTATTGATGTTGCAGTTAATATATCTTGTTTGCATAAGTAGAGAACTTAACTTTATAGTGTTTTTTTTTAAAACATTTTAGTGAACGATGCACCAATGCGTTGGAATTAAAATCAGCAATGAATTTCATTGGCTGATCATAATAGTTTTGAGAAACTCTTTTTCTTTTTCTTTAGTGTTTATACAAACATAAAATAATGCTATAAGTAATTTAAATGAATCTAGACCCTAAACCTTCTAGAGTTGTTTAGTTCTTTTAAATATTTCTAATGTAGTTTAGTTCAAAAGTTACTTTAGAAGTATTTAAAAATATAAAATATATTTAGCTTAAAAAAATATGATTTTTTAGCCAATACCTATTGATATTAGTATTAGACAAAGGTTGGCATCAGTGCAATCCTAATTTCACAGTGTTTTTGTTTTTTCCAGATGAAATAGTAGTTGCTGATTCAGTTTTTATATTTTCTTTTATATTTGGTCTTGATTACACTTCTTGAACCGCAATTTGATATGGTTGACATAAATCTCAATGCTGTAAACTATGTTGCAGGGTTTTTTCTTGTTTATATAGATACTGATATGCTAAGGTTTGTGGTCAGAGATAAGAATTCTTATTAGCCTGCAGTTTGAAGTCAAATATTTATTATTTTTACATGTAGTGTGGGATCCCTAATAATCTTTAGGAGCTTCAAAACTCCATAGGGAAATACCAATCAGCAGTACATCACTCATGACTTGTTTACATTATCATAATTACAGATTTATTAACATTTAAACATAAATAAATTGTGTTTTGAAAAAATTGTGTATTTTTTGTTTAGATTTGCAAAGAACCTTGATCCAAGCTCTATTAGCTTAAAGTTTTTTAAAGGAGAAGGAGAACTCACTAATCTTGAACTAGATGAAAGGGTTCTTTCAGAACTATTAGAATTTCCGCCTTGGCTTCAGCTAACTAAAGTTACTTGTAACAAAATTTCTGCCAAGGTAAAAAAAATTTTGCCTAAATTTTCTTTTTAAAGTTTAAAAAAGCATATAATTTTTAAATTTGTGCTGTTGTTCAGGTGTTTTCAAAGTGTTTTATTTATGTTTATTATGTATTTATACTTAAGGTACCTTGGACAAGTTTAAAATCTGATCCTATAAGATTGGTAAGTTTATTATATAAGTCAGTTTATATATATATATATATAAATATATATATATATATATATATATAATATATATATATATATATATATATATATATATATATATATATATATATATATATATATATATATATATATATATATATATATATATATATATATATATATATATATATATATATATATATATATATATATATATAAAAGAAGCTTTAGGAGAAAATAAAAATTAGATAAATGTTTTTACTAATTTATATGTATGTATGTATATATATGTATGTATAATTTATATGTATGTATGTATATATGTATATATATATATATATATATATATATATATATATATATATACATATATATATGTATATATATATATATATATATATATATATATATATATATATATATATATATATATATATATATATGTATATATATATATATATATATTCATGTATTTATATTCATGTATTTATATTCATGTATATATATTCATGTATATATATTTATACATACATGTATATAAATATGTATATATATATGCACTACATTTTTAGCATTTCTAACCTGTTATTAATGCTGTAAAAGCAACCAATAAAATTTTTTTATTGGTTGAAAATCAAATGTGCATTTTTAGCCTTCAGAATTTGGAACAATTAGGTTGGCAAAAATTGCTGAATTTAAAATGTTTTATGTTGAAATCACAAATTTTAGAAACAAGGTTCGAAAAATTGACAAACATGCAAACATTTAGCATAAAATTAAAAAAAGAAAAGCAAATGCTAAGTTTGCCAACTTTTTTTTCTTTCGAATGTTGATATTTGCCTAAATTTTTGTAAAATGAACGCAGCATTTTACAACCTTTTTGTTAGTAATTTTAATAAAAGATTAGTTTTGCTAAAAAATATTTAATTACTTTATTTAGTATTGATAAAATGTTTGTTTTTCCATTTTTATTTTATTGTTTTGTTTACAGTTTAAATAAAAGGTTCGTAATTAGAATTTAAAAAGAACATTTGGTTTGTCATTTTAGAATTTACATAAAATGTTAGTTTTGCTAGGTTTTTAAAATTAATCTAAAAATTAAGTAAACTGTTTTTTATTCCTTTTTTATTTTAATTGTTTTGTTTGCAATTTAAATATAAAGTTTGTATTTAGAATTTAGATATGTGTATTTTGCTGATTTTTTTTTTAATTAATTTGTTCAGAATTTAAATATTTGTTTTGCCGTTTTTATTTTAATTATTTTTTTTAGAATTTAAATAGAATGTTTTTTATTCCTTTTTTATTTTAATTGTTTTGTTTGCAATTTAAATATAAAGTTTGTATTTAGAATTTAGATATAATGTTTATTTTGCTGATTTTTTTTTTAATTAATTTGTTCAGAATTTAAATATTTGTTTTGCTGTTTTTTTTTTAATTATTTTTTTTAGAATTTAAATAGAATGTTCTTTATTCCTTCTTTATTTTAATTTTTTATTCAGAATTTCAATTAAAAGTTTTTTTTTTTTTGCTGTAAATTAGATATGGTAAAAACTGTTGATGCTCGCCAATAAATATTGAGATGTATTTTAAAAATAAAAAAGGTTTGCAAAAGTAAAGTACTTAATAAAGGAATTGAAATGACTCAAATTCCAAGGGCTACATTTTTTATGTGAGGACTGTGAGACTCCAATTGCTATATTTTTTATGCGAGGACTGTGAGACTCCAAGGGCTTATATTTGTTTAAAACCAATTACTATGTCAATTAAAAACCTTGAAGAACAAGGCCGTGCAGCGGCCTTGTTCTTTAAGGTTTGTGTTTCGGAGTTATAGAGTTGAGAGAGGGTTATAACCACTATTAAGTAGCCTCCTTGTCTGTAGTGGCCTTCTCGGCCTTGAGGAGGTGAATAACTAAAAAAAAAAAAGAATTAATTAAAAGTATATCCATAATTTAAAAATTTAAAAAATTCTAATAACATTGCTCAGCAAACAAGTTTTGCACACTTTAACAAAGTGTAAATTACATGTATGTGTACTTTATTAAAACAAAACATGTTAAAACAAAACAAAATATTATTACACTATTAAGTTTTTTGTTTTTACAGGAAATTTACACAAGCTCCTGAACTTGTTTTCTTTTGGATTTTGGAGCTTTTGGATACTTTATATAATATTTTATTTATTTTTTAATTTGTTTTACCTGGATTAGCCGCTCCAGAGCTGTAAACAGTGTTGGAGAATTTTTTTGAAGAAAAAATGTTGAATTTGAAGCTGGTACCAATTTTTAATCCTCAACTCCTATGCTCTGCTTTTGACGATCTTAAAATGTGAATTTTTTTCAATGTAAAATATATATGCAATAACAAACTTAAAATAAGTATGGTAAATTTTTTTTAAAGTTTTCCTGTAAGTGTCAAGGTTCTGCAAAGAAAAACAAACAGGCGTCTTTTACTGCACAAAGAAAGGCTAGTAATTTTTCTGTTCAATGTTATCTAGTAATTGCCTTTCAAAACCAAACATTGATTATAATATAACATCGCCAAAAAAATAAATCATAATTGTTTTTAAAATAGATAATGAGATTTGTATTACAGGATTAATTAACATACTTAGAATCATCCAATCAAAAATATTCCAGATATTTAAGATTTAAATTCAGCTTTATATTCTTGGTTAAATTTATATTCAATTTAAAATAATATGTTAATTATATACTCATTATATGTTATAGTTTCTTTCAAAATCTTAATTTTTTTTTTTTTTAAGCGCTTGGATTGTGTTGAAGTGCAAATTGTTGCTTCAGAAACTGCAAGAGAAAAGGTTGCAAACTTGCCAGTTTTTGCTTCAAATAATGGGTAAAAAGTTGTATATCTTTTAAAATATATATTTATTTTATACCAGGCGGGTGTATGCAGTTTTTAAGGCTAGATAAAAATTGTTAATAAAATTGTTAATATAAGCCACAAGTGTGGAAACAAACAAAAAATTTAAAATCCTCAATTTTTATTCAAAATTTTGTAGTTTTGTGAAGAAAAAAAATCATTAAAATTAGATGCCAAATCTCTAAAAGTCTTTAATATCCTCTTATGAAAATTTTATGTTAAATTGGGCAATCTGCCCAATTTAAACCCCATCGAAGCTGTTGGGTTAAAAAGCAGAATTTTATTAAACAAAACCTAACCTCATTAGCTAGGCTGAGAAAAGCCATAAATAAAACATGGTTTCATGAAATAATGTATGAATATTGTGGTTTAGTGTTCGGCCATAAAAAAGTTTCTCTTTATGGCCAAGTGTTCTTCCACTAGACTACTACCACATTTTTATAATATCATATAGTATTTTTATACTATATTTAATGTAATAGTAAATTGTATTTAAAATCATCCTACTATTATACTATAGTTTTTTATTAATGCCATTAAATACTACAACAGCTAATAATAATTATTAAATATTATTAATATTATTGTTAAATATTAATAATAATAATTATTAAATATTTATAATATTATATAGCTTGATCATCAGCAACCTTTATTATTAGTTTAAAATGTTTTTTTACATGTAGCAAACCATCAAAGTATGGATTTACGGAACGTGTTCTTGATGGAATGTATATTTCCATTAATACAGTTTTGGTTGCATTTACATCAGCAGGCTTTAAGGCTTCTGTGAATGTATCACGTATTGTCATTCAAAGCACTACACCTGACTGGCAGCAAGCAAATAGTTTAAGATCAACAAGGTTAAAGGATGAAGTAAGGGGTGAAGTGTTAACTTTCAAAGAAATAAGATGGGGAACAATGAAGGTGGATGCTGATGCTTCTTACAAGCCAGAGGTACTTTTTTTTTCTTTCTAGCTTTACATTTTATTTTATTAATTAAACAAAACCATTAAGTTATTGTTATATTTTATGAGAAAGTATATTTAGTAATAAAGATAAATAAAATAATAAAAGTTGGAGATTGCATAGATCATATAAATTGTATAGTTTTTTTTTTTTCATAGTTAAAGTTATTAAGTTTAGATTTTGATCAAGTTTTGCGTTTTTTTAGTCAAAAGATATCTTATCAACACCTCTTCGACTTATTACTAATAATAGTGTCATTCGGTTGGTTATTAAGAAAAGGTTAATAGATTGTACGATGATTGCTTCCAAGTTGGCTATTATACTTGATGATATCTTATGGGTGTTAACACAATCCCAACTACTTAAGTTTTCTAGTTTTGTACAGTATCTATTAAAACTTAGGAGCCAATTTTTACCAATTTCACAAGGAAGTATGCCAAACCCTCAAAGAACTGAATCTAATCCAACATACGCTGATGGTCAAGCTACCCATGATAATATTTTTTCTGCCTATAACCTGACTGAAACTTCTATACATTTGCGAACACATCAAGTAGATTTGCACTTATGTGATGATTGTAGTTTAAATGGCAACCAATCGAAAGATTCTACTGATGAGTATTTTGATGAAACAGGAGCAGCATTACAAATTTCATTAACAAATATTGCTTTAGATCATTGTCCTTATCATGTTGCTGGTACTCATAGAAGTGCTGTTAGAATAGATGATCAGGTTGCATACCAAAGGAAACACTGGGCACAACAACTTTTAACTAACTTTCGGGAAACAGAAGGAAAGAGACGTTTGTCAAGAAAAGATTCTATGTTATCTCAAGGGCCTCAGGTAATCCAACAATCTCAGGTTTTGGGGTTGTTACTAAGTATATTTAGTAAAACCCTTTTTAACTAAACAGGTGTTAAGGTTTTTTTTTCTTCTTTACTATGCATTATTTAATGTGAATTTTTTTTTGTAATTGGATTTTTTATTTTATTTTTTTGAATTTTCAAATGAGTATAATTTTCATTTAGCGACAAAAAGAAATTTTGTATGAAAGTTTTTTTGTTATTAACTGTTCTGACTTTAAAATTATGCAAGTAACAACAAGCAAGACTATGGAAAACAAACCATTCTTATCTTCAGAGAAAGAAGCTTTATATTTGCCAAAAGAAATGCCAGCAATTTACATTGATCATTCGATGTATTATTATGCACAGAATGTGAACTTGCCAGGTAAAGCTATAAATAGGATGTAATTCATGAAATAAAATTCAAAAATTGTAAAAACTATATCACAATTAATAGTATTTATGAATATGTATACTTTATTAAGTTATATATTATACATGTATAATAACAACATAAGTGTATGTTATATGCATGTGTTGCTTATATGACTTGGGAAAATAATTTAGTGTCTTAGCTAGAATACTAATTTTAAAAAAAAAGATCCTCTATAATTTGGGAAACCTATTGTTAGCCTCTTGTTGGAGAATTTTCAGTGTAAGAAACTAAGACACTAACAGACAGTTTCAAATTTCCAATCCCTAAAGCACAAGCACAAATTAAAATTCATTGATAAATTAATGAGTATTAACTACTTATTTTTTAAATTGATTTTATTTTTGAGAAAAATGTAATCAGTGTTTTTTAATTATAATAATATAGTATAAAGAACTTTCTCTCTCCAAATTTTCCAGTTATTGCATTGTACTTTTATATCTATACATTTACAAAAATATATTAAATATAAAATGTTATCCTAGAAATTCCTATGGTTAAATGAACAGGTTAAATGGTTATAGCAAACCTTAAACTGCACGCATTTCTGTTCTAGATGCTTAAACTTAAAGGGATCTCCAAATGCCGAGACAAGTGGTGTTCATATTTAAAACTAAAAAGTTTTAAGTTAATTAAAAGATACTATTGAGTTAATATAAAAACTTTTTCATTTTTAACACCTTTTTTTTTTTTTTTAGGAAAAGAAAGTTCTGGCTTGTTGATTTTTTTCTTTTAAAAAAAATCTGGTCAATTATAATCTAAAAAATAAAATAAATAAAATTTTATCCTTGGTGTCATTAAAAATAAGTATTGTTTTTAAAGTTAAATTATATATATATATTTTTTTTCAAGTTGATTAAGGTGTTGCAAGAAGTCCTTACGGTCTTATCACAGAGCACCGCGGAAGAGCATTTAATAGGAAGTTCACGCCTCCTTCCCAACCGATGTCGCAAAACTTGTCCAGAGGTGGGGTTTGAACCACGGATCTTACGTTTCTGAGACAAATGCGCTACCACTGCGCTACGGCTGCTCATTTTAATGTTTGGGTTTTCCCTTTCTGATATATGTTAGGTATAATAAAAATTTAAAGAACTTTTTTAAACTATAAAAAGTGAATATGGCTAAGGATCAGCAAAGTCGACTTTTTAAGACTCGAATTTAAATGAAAGACAAATTTAGATCATATGTCTATACCGAATTAAACTGAAAAACGAATATATGCCGTATATGTAGCCTGAATTTAACTGAAAGACGATTTTAAAAGCACATTTAATTAAAAAAATTTATTAAGAACTTTAAAAAAAAAAATTTTTTTTGTTTTTGTTTTTTGTTATAAATGTTCCAAGAAAAACTAACTGTTTTGTCATGAAATACATCAGAAGTTCAAACCTCCTTTCTTACTGATGGTACAAAATATGCTCAGAGCTTGTTTCGAACCCTAGGTCTCTTGCTTCTAAAGCAAGCGCTCCAACCACTGCGCTGCGGTTGCTGTATAATCGTTTTTTTTAAAATTAAAGTTACTATTTTTTAGCTTTTACTTAACCGTAATTTAAAATATGTTATAGAACATTTAAGTCAAGTAAATTTTTTTTTACAAAAAACAATTTGCGTCAAAATAAAAAATGAAAATTCAAGTTATGGGATCTTAATGTTTTTGAACAAGCATGAACAAAAAAACATTTACAACGTTATTTAAAAATTTTGTTTGTCAATTTTATAAAGGAAAAAGATCGTTAAGAATATTAGGTTAAATATTCACCTGCGTTTTTCCCCTTAAGATTTTTGAAAAGTGATAAGTAGGATTTAATAAGTAGTAAATATACTTTGTGCCTAAAAAAGTCTTTTCGAAGACAAATTTATTTCCAATATGTTTTTTTTTTTTTTACCAAATTCATGTTCTCAAAGCCAAGTGGACCACTTTAGTTGAGGAACCTACTTTTTATATTGGTTACAACCCTCTCTAAACTCTTTAACTCCGAAACACTTTTCAGAGTTAAAGAGTTGAAAGAGGGTTGTAACCAATAGAAACAGGTTGATATTTTTTTTTTTTTTTTAATTTGCATTCACTCCCAACAAGGCTGCAAGCAACCACTATTAAGTTGGGAGTTACTAGGAAAAAAAAAAGAACAGAGTTATAGAGCAAGGAAACGATTGACAGAAGACTTGAAAAGTTGAAGGTTGTATGAGATGGGTTGTATGAAAACATGAAGATGGGAGAGAGTTCCAAAGGATTGAAGTGCGGGGAAAAAAACTAGATGAATAAAAGTTTTTAGAGCATGCAGGGACAGATACAGTAAACGAATGAGACTTAGCTAAATGACGAGTAAAACGAGAATGAATTTTAGTTGATGGAACTAGAGGTGATAACTCCTTTGAGCAGTGACCATGATAGTATCTGTAGAAAAGAGAAAGAGATGCAACTTTACGATGATGGGAAAGAGGTTCAAGCTTAGCAGATAGTCCAGGTCCAACAACATTTACAATGCGTTTTTGGACCTTGTCAAGAAGAGAAAGTGAATCGTTAGAAGAACCAGCCCAATTATGACAACAGTATTCCATATAGGGACGAATAAGAGATTTGTAGAGGTACGAGAAGAAAGATTTATAGAGATCATTGCATGGTCAGAACCACCTAAGGGAGAAAAGGGAGAAACTGAACATAAGCTAGGGTCAAAGACAAGACATAAGTCAAGGAGTGAAGGTAAATGATTAGGGTTGTCAGGAAAACGAGTCACAAAGTTAACTATCTGAGTAAGAGATTGAGAAACGCAGAAGTTAAAGGCTTTAGTGCCAGCAGGATCAGTGGTGTTAGAGCCAAGCCATTCAGTGTGATGGGCATTAAAATCACCAACAACAATAATATTGGCAGAGGGGTAAAGAGAGAGGGCATGGTCAATTTGATCAGAGATAACATCTAAAAGAGTGCAATCATGGGAAAAAGGAGAACGATAAAGAACAAAGAGAAAGGTGATAGAGTGAAGAGGTGCTAGGCGAAAGCACATAAAAGAATGGTCAAAGGATTTGAACCTGGTTTCATGACAAATAGGGGAATTAATGCGTATGTATACCCCTAAACCTAGCATGTGACTATTGGAGTCTTTACGAATCAAAGGATAGTACCCATCAACACTGATATCTGAAGAAGGAATTGCAGAACTTAAATTTGTTTCACTGAGTGCAAGCAAGTCTGGTGAATTTTGCAGGAGGTAAGACTCAACTGATGGAAAGTTGCTTCGTAGACCGCAAATATTTGTAAAAGATATATTAAAATATTTAGGTGGTGGGGATGGTTTTTTACGTTTTAAATTTTTGGTTACTTTGGTCATGATTTGGGTTTAATGAGAACTTGACTCATTCATAGATAGAGCACAGCCTCCTAATCAATGAGCTATGCAGTTGTCTCTGTCCTGTTAATTAACCCTAAGCCGTGACATAGGGCTCCTTATGTGGCCTTGACAATGCACACCAAAAGCATTAACAGGGACACCATCCATGCGCAACATGGCACTGTTAATACTCTGATATTTTGCAGCTGTTGATGGAATCAGCCTCTCTGAGAGCTACCACAGAGTTCGGGAAACCTTACTACCAGCTGGCCTCAGAACCATTAAACTGAGTTTTAGAGCTGTACCCTCATATGGAGATAACAGGAAGAGTTGCATAGCCATTATCAAGGAGGCATAAGCAAAATTCTATAAGTAGAGTCAAGGAGATCCAGCATTCATCATCCTAGGCAGGAAACAATGTAACACAGGTTACATCTACGCCAGCCTAATAGATGAAGAAGGGGTTCGAGGCTGGTTAGCAGAATTTTTCTGCTTACCCCTAAAGTCTTTGCCTAGGAGGCCTTCTACAAAACAGTAGCTGGATGCAGTTAACATCTGCCCAAGATGAGTATTTTTATCGAGACACCATCTTTAGCCTTTACTCAACCAAGAGCCCCAAGGCAGGGGAATTTTTAGTCGGAGTTTATTTCTCCTAGCCTTTGCATAAGAAGAGCACACTCTGCAAGGCAGCAGGGCTTGTGGCAGGTGGTACTGGGTTACGTGATACCAGTAGCAAGATTGATCTCGATTATCCTGACCTGACCTGGATATACATAAAACATATAATATATTTTATAATTCTTCTTCTTTATAAATTGAAAAAAGCTTTATAGCCTTCGAATTTTACTGAAAGTTAAATGAAATTTTGAAAATGCTACCAAAGTTAACTGAAAGCCGATTTTCTATTTCAACTTCGGCACCGAAGTGGAAGCCATAGTTAACTTTGCCTTTGTAAACTTTATAATCCGAGTTTTAATGAATATTAAAATTCGGATTACAAAGTTTCCTGATACGCCGGTCCCTAAATATGGCTGCAGGTTGTTAAAAAACAACTTGCAGCCATATTCACTTTTCATTGTTACTCTAATAAAATCTAAAAACCAAAAAATAACATTTGAGATTAAGTGAAAAATATACAAATAAATTTGTCAGTAAAAAAAAACTGTTTTTTTTAAAATAAAATAAAAAAATTTAAAAAAATCAGACCGAAGTTTAGTTTAATTTTTTAAAGACATCTGAGAACTGAAACGCTTTGTAAACTGCAATGCAGCAAAAATATTTTATTATAATTGCAAAGTAAAAGTAATTATTATCACAAAGTAAAAAAAATGAAAACCCAAGTTTGTGTGTGAATTAAATTGTTTAAAAAAAGAACTCATGGTTTCATGTGGCAAACACATCATTAAACAAACCAGATATTTATATAACAAAAGAAAAGTATATATATCGTAAACCTAATATTTGTCTTAAAAACAAAAATTAGAATGGCGGAGTTACAAAAAATCTTTGTTATTATCTCGATAAATAATTTATTTTAGTAAGTTTAATTTAATGAAAATTTATTTTCTAAGGTTTATTTAAGATATGAACAAAACTTGTCTTGACACTCTTGGATCCCTTTGAACT